CAGGATCCATTCTTGGCCGTCGTGATTGACCCAGACCGCACCATCAGCGGCGGCAAGGTCGAGATTGGAGCCTTCCGAACATACCCTGCCGAGTACAAGGGCAATGACGGTGCGGGTGCATCCGACGGTTATGAGGCTGTGCCTCTCGCCAAAGCCGCCGAGTTTGGTGCCCATGCGAACCGATACTACAGCCTTGAGGTGTCCCATTTCAAGAGCACTCTCGATTCCCATCTCCTCGAACAGCTCTGGCACAAGTACTGGGTCCAGACCCTCAGCCAAAACCCGCTTCTCACCAATCGTGACTATGGCAACAAGCAATTACTGGATCTCAGTTCCAAGATTCGAGATGCCACGACCAACATCACCCGTACCAGAGGTGGCCAGAGTAGCATGTTTGGTGGTGTCGGCACCTCTAGGTTAGATAGGACAGTTACCAAGTTGGCCCAGGACACCAACCAGATCGCCAGCCGGGAGAGGACGGGACTGACTGCCACAGAGGTCAAGGCGAAGCTCTTCAACGATCTTGTGAGCAAGAGCTGAAAGCATAGCTGCCTGGTCATCATGAGGTCTACGCATTATGATTTCTTGCTCATAAACTGCAGGCATAGGGTATCTTTTTTGGTTTGATTTTGTGACTTTAGATCGGCGTTGGGAATGGACCAAAGCATTACCATTCACTTAGGTAGAGTAATGATGAAAAAGACTCCAGAAGCATCTTGGCTATGGTTGAACTAAATGAATTCTCCAAACAGCGTGAGCTAATAACTGGCTACAATGTGCTTTAATAGGTATGGTCTGCAATGTGCTTTCTATATCAACATCTAGGGAAACTTGAATTCTACAGCTTGGGGGTTAGTTTTGACGACCCGAGGGCCTTCTTCGCCCATGATAACTTGGCGGCAAGCGACGCCTTGGAAACAGCAGCATCTGGAACCATCATGTCGAAGCAGTGGTACCCTCCTGGCCAGACATGCAGCTCGGTTGGCACGCCAGCCGCGCACAGCTTATGCGCATAGGCCATATTCTCATCTCGGAAAATCTCAGCCGCGCCCACGGTGACGTACGCCGGTGGGAGGTTGGACAGATCGGTCGCCCTGATCACGGCCGCGTACGGGCTGACACGCTCGTGCCCGGCGTTGGGTCCCAGGATGGCGTCCCAGGCCATCTTGTTCACGGCACACGTCCACAGGCCCTCATCCATGTACTGCTGGCAGGAGACGGATTCCGTCCGGTCGTCGAACATGCCCGAGTCGAGCAGCTGGGCGCACAGCTTGGGTCCCCTGCGGTCACGGGCCAGCAGGGCCATGGCCGCGGCCAGGCTGCCCCCCGCGGATTGCCCAGAGACCATGAGCCGGTCCGGGTCGATGTTCAGCTCTTGCAGGTGGGAGCCGATCCAGGCCAGGCCGGCGTAGGAGTCCTCCAGCGCCGCGGGGAAGGGGTGCTCTGGGGCCTGCCTGTACTCGGCGGAGATGCACAGGCCGCCGACTGCCTGCGCCCAGCTCAGGGGCTCCCTGAGACCGGAGAAGCGAGTGCCGCAGATCATGCCGCCCATGTGTAGGTTGTAGATGGCGGGGCGGGGCGGCGCCTTGCCGGCGGCGGAACCCTCCTTGGGGTAGAAGATAGAGAGGGTGACGGGCCCGTTGGGGCCGGGGACGCTGCGCTCCTCGTGGGTGAAGGGCAGGCCGGCGATGGTGGCCTCGAGGGTGGCTGCGTCGGCCTGGGCTTTGCGGAGGGCTGGGATGATGTCGCGGGATGCGACCAAGGGCGGGAAGGACTTGAGGAGCGGGATGAGCTCCGGGTCGTAGGGGGGTTTGGGGATGTTTTGCGCCATGGTGAGAGGTGGTTTGGTGTGTTTACTTCACGGTGGGAGGGCGCAGCGTGTTTCAACTAGCTATTGGAGAGGAATTGATCGATTCCGAGCCGGTTATAGGACTATATACACATGAAATAGAGGGCTGGAGAAGAGCATTTAAGGGGAAGTGTGTGGAGATACGGTCCCGCTGGCATACATTACTGCTGTTTCGGCACACATGGTCAATGGCAAGGTGAACACGGTAAATGGGTTTATATTCAGCTGGCAGGCATAGATTCGGATAGAATCATCCGGGAGATGTGCGCGGTGAGGGGGGTGGACATTGGTTCCCGAGGGCGAGGGAGGCAGATCGGGTGCCCGTGTCCATGCAGCGATGCATTGAGATCCGGGATTCATTGCATGGAGAGACAGTCATGCATCTCCAACGAAACACCAGGGTGCCCAGACTTGATTATTGGTCGGGCAGCGGTTACACGTGTTCGGGTTTTCTTGTTTTGATGGTTCATGCACTCGGTGCGATCCGGGCATGTGAATACACACTTCCCCAATCTTGAGGTTTCGTGGATCTGGGGCAAATTGGCTGGGGAAAAATACTTCCGGATATGCTTACCACATGCTGAGACCCTGGACGGGATGGTTATGGGGCCGAGCTGGAGAGGCGGGGACTTGGTGTTGCTTTGGCACAAATACCCTGCGGAGTTTGCTCAGTGAAGGTGAGCCGGTGAGCTGTTGAACAAGAGCTTGATATTACAAAGTCCTCTCGGACCAACATGCAGGAAGAGTAGGACGACTGCTGGCTTGGCGACCCGTACAGCGGCCGGACCTGTTTTGGGCGTTTTCCAAGTGTCTGCCAGGATGAAAATTTGAGAATTATCAACCGCCATCATCGATAAACACTCGACGGAGTATTGTCGTTTCGGAGCTTCCTTGCGAGGGCTGTGAGGAAGATCAGAGTAGTGAATGGCTGCGTGGAAGTAACCGCTTTGGTGCTCAAAAGGCGGGTGGAGAGAACTCTTATGCAAATAAGGCGCTTGCAGCAAGAAATCCAGGGAATCCTCATCCGCAATGCCTTGAGGTGTTTGGAGCGCAATGCATTATATCTAGATTGGCAAGGAGCCGGAGTTTATTAGGGATAGAGCCACCCAGTCAAAGACCGATAGCATCTTGAATCCTATCGCCCTGTAGCCAAGACGATGGAGCCTCGTACTAAACTAGGTGCAAAGTATGGAAGAACACTTAGCAGTGAATTAAGACCCAGAGGGTGTTGACATGGCACTAGTACGTTCGGATGCGGCCCAGGATGTGATTCATGGTGAGAGTAGGATCGCCTTGATCAAGGACCAGGGGTTGATGTTCCAAGACCTCTTCAGGCTAGATTTTCTTCGTTCCAGCGAGACGCTAAGCTGTGCTTCAGCTTAAGTGGTGAGTAGGTAGCTTTGGTCTAGCTCCTCGCCTTATTTCCCACTTGACTCCTTCAAGGCGTTTGACTCTGTGACAGTGCCGGAGGAATGCAGAAGCCAGACCCTGAAGAAGCACGCGACATGACCGACTTTTCTCGTCAATTGGCTTTTCTGCTCTCGGCCGGACTGGATTGGCTTGACGTCATCCCAACGTGGTGTTGAGGCCGCGATCAGCAATGAAGAAAGGCCCAGCGAGGCACTAGCACAATAGACTTGCGCCAAAAGCAGCATCATGCAGTTGGCAGGCATCGATAGAATCAAGCTCGGAAGCTGCATTGGGCGATGGCCAGTGATTCCGAGAGATGCTCAGGCCGATCATATTCTCGATAATCAGTGAAATGGCTGATTCAGGGCCACTGATTGACTTGGGATCCCTTCAAGGGTCGTAGCAGAGACTCTTCTGCCGATGCAACCATGTCATTGATGTATCATGGGTGCCCTGGCTGGTATCCCGCCAGATGCTCTTGCTCTACCCATTCAATTGCAGATGGCTTGACGACGAAACCCTGTGAAAGAGCTATCCCCCAAAGGTTCCTATGGAATGCTAATTGGGAGGCAACCGGCAGGATTTGAGATCGAAGCGCCAGGGACTAAGAATAGGCCATTGGAAAGGCCCTGTCTTGGTAATTTCGAGCATCCTTCACCCTCAAACATCCCCAAGCCTGTCTCACACAAATCAAGGCTTCTGAGACTCGACTCCGGGGCTTGAGTGGTGCAATTGATCATCACGGTCCCCGCAAAAGACTGGTTTGGTGGCACGTCGCCGAAGAGAATGGGCAATTGGGCAACACGTAGTCTATGAGCAATCGATCCAATATTGGCTGGCTAGACCACCATCCCAGTGGCACCACCACACGTCGTGTCTGTGGACTACTGAGGCATAGCTGCTATGTACTAGTAGCGGCTAGTGATCGTCGATCTTCAGCTGGACCAGGCCTTGTGCAATTTGACTTCGTGGGCAACAAGCTCGATCGATGGCCTCAGCTGCAGGCATCAATGGAGAACAGGGAAGGATTGCGCTAGCGGAGCATCGTGCAGGGCATCTGCAGTGCGCGTCGGCCCACTGAGCGCTGTCTAGCAGCTCGGCAGGGAGCTCTACCGGCACTATTACCATTGGCAAATTAAGCCTCGGAGGGGCTTTTGGGGAGGAACTTCGATGACGCATTTGAAACATCACTCCCAGCAGGAGCGGCTGGTCGTGCTTGCCTGTGCGTGCTGGCACATGTCGAACGGCAGAACAGGCTTGTGGGTGTCATCCATCCCCCCATGTCATTTCACCTTCATTTCATCGAGTCTGCCGGTTTCCCTCACAGCAGCACAACGTCACTGACGCCACACAAGCTTCCTTGGCGACTGGCTCCCTGTGGTTCCCCTTCCCGGTTGGCTGGCCCCTGCTTCCCCTCCTCCTCCCTCCGTCCCAATTGGCCCTGCCTCCCTTGCGTTGGCTTTGGTCTGGCTTTAGAAATGATATAAGTATGGCGACACGGCTCGGTTGCGCCCTAGGTGCGCCTTCGGATCTTTTTCTTCATCATATTTCTCTTGTTTGAGCATTCCGTTCTCTCACCACATTATACCCGCAGTGATACTGTGCAAGCAAACAATATCTTATTTCCTTTGATACCCAATTAGTTAAGAAGACCACGCTCGATACCATCATTCCATAGCCCGGGATCTTTCTGCTCCCTGCTCTCTCTAATACACGCGGCCAATTCACAGCATCATACATCATGGCCGCCAACGTCAACCGCCCCGTTGTGAAGGAACAGAAGGACGCAGATGTCAACCGCAAGCTCCAGATCTACGGCATCATCTCTGCCTTTAAGCATGGCAAGGTTCCATCGGTATGTTCATTACCGCCTAGGAGGCTTCTCGTTTGGCAGCAACTCACCCATGGAGAGTCCATGGGTGAGTTTGCCATATGACTGAGCCACCCTCATATTCCCTCCACATTTACTGACTGCCAGTCCTGCAGAACGACCAAATCGACGTAGCTCTCAACAGTTTCTTGGAATCACAGGCTCTGTCGAGACCCTCAGATAAGCTTTCCCCAGATGGCAAACTCCTTGTTGAGGACCTCAAGGAGATTGTACAGCAGTCCAAGAGCCTCATACTGTCCAAGAATCAAGGAGATCTGATTCAGGACTTTATTTGGCAAACCACTCAGTATGAATACAAGAGCATCACTGCTCCTGGCGCTCCTGTGGATAAGGACACTGCCAAGCGAGATGGAGACGAGGCTCTAAAGGGGTTGAGGACACTCGGCACCCTCATTATCACCAACGGCCAGTTCCGGAAGCTGCGTAAGTCAGAACCGTCACCCTTAATTTCACCATTTGCCCACAATCTAAATTAACACTGCTGCAGTAAAGGACTTCTCTATTCTTATCCGCGATATTGCGGGAGATGCTGCCGGCAATGCCGCCAACAAGGTCCGCCCATCGGAAGAACAATTGGGCCAGCTTGATCAAGCTGCCCCGGACAACACCTGGCATGAGAAGCCCAACCTGAGCAAGGAGAATCTTAAGAAGCAAGCCCAAAACGTCTATGGTGGAAATGCCAAGAAGGATACCAAAGATGTTGCTCAAGCCGGCATCCAGGCCTCCAACGCTCAGCAATCCAGCAATGCTGCTGAAGTCGATAGACAGGCCGCTCAGTCCGCCGCCAGACAGGTCGCCGAAGACAAGGTTGACCAGGCTGTTGATGACGAAACCAAGCAAAAGATCAAGGAGCGTAATGCGGAGTATCGTCGAAGGGCTCGAACCTACTTTGACAAGAAAATGCCCAAGGAGCGTAAAGATCAGATCATCTTCAGGCTAAAGAAGATGATCCTGGAGTGTCAGCAACACACTGATTACATGGAGGCGATTCAAACCTTGCTCCGTCTAGCTGAGAACTACGGCAGGCATGGGCGTACATTTGGATCCGGCTCGGCTTCCACTGCCAAGGAGACTCGGTCGGGTTTTGCCGCTGCTGAGGCTGACCTCCGCACCATCATCGAGCGTTTTGCCAATGGCACTTCCACTGAGGATCTCTGGGCATCGATCGCTCAGATCTACAAAGATGCTGAGCACGACGAAGAGCTTCGCAACTGGTTCAAGACCGTGGACGCTTACGTGCGACGTTGTCTTCTCGAGCAAGGATATATCCTTGAGGACGAGTCAACCGTTGAGTGGGACCGTCTCTACGACAAGGGCAGATATCTGCTTCGTGAGAAGTATCGAAGCCACACTGACCGAGTCCTCGATGAAATCAAGTTTGTCGCCAACCAATTCGACGAGGATGTTCAGAACAAGGCTTTTGCTAAGTCTGTGGAGAAGCTATTCCACGACCTGGGCAACGATGAGTTTGGCAAGGCTGTTTTCAAGCCTCATCTTCTCAAGGATCTAACTGAGGTCATAATCCCTGCCATCTTGGAAAAGATTGCCTACGTTCCCATCCCACGCATCGAGTACTCTGATCCCAAGATTGATGCTGTCATTGAAAATCTGGTATTGGAGAGTGACAACTTCATGCCCAACGTCTTGGAGATTGCGAGCGAGAACTTTGTGCGATTGGGACGTAAGAAGTTCAGCAATAAGCACAAGCACAACATCGAAGTCAAGGCATCAGGTATTCAGATGGACCTGCGTGATGTTGGTTTTCACATCAAACGCAAGCAGGGCTTCCCTAGCATCACCGATACTGGTGTAGCCGATATTATACTGCCAGGTAACGGTTTTTCGTTCAAATTGAAGATCTCGTCGGCCGAAAAGAAAGACAAGCAGCATTTCTTCAAGATCGACAAAGTCGATGTTGACTTTAAGGATCTAAAGCTGAAAGTCATCAAGTCCAACCACAAGCTCCTTCTTACCCTGTTCAAGCCTCTTGCCCTGCGAGCCATTCGACCTGTGTTGCAGAAGGTTGTGGAAACAGCCATCAGGGAGCAATTCAATCGACTTGATTCCTTGTTCCATGATGTAAAGCTAGAGGTTGATAATATGGTGACTGAAGCCAAGGGAGACCCTGAAAATGCTCCTAATATTTACAAGCGATACTCGACCGCCTTCCAAAAGCGCCTTGCGCAACACAAGGAGAAGGCCAAGAAGAAGGTCACCGAAAACAGGAAATTCAACATGGCCATTACGAAGGAGGACAGCATTTTCCCCAACGTCAATTTGCCAGGTGGAATCAGCTCCAAGGCTACTGAGTACAGAGAGCTGGCTCGCAAGGGTGACAAGTGGGAAAGCCCAGTGTTTTCGATTGGCACCGCTAAGCACAGCACCAGCCTTCCTTCTGCTCCAAAGATCGAACGCAAGGCTCACCCAGCGACAAACGGTCGTACCAACGGCCATACTAATGGTGCAACCAATGGCCACACGAACGGGGCAAGTAACATCCCTCGTAGCGCCAACCTCAATGCGGGAAGCGCCAACTTCAATGCGGGGGCCTCTTACAAGCCAACTACCGCCGATTTTCTCCCACCTCAAGCTGCACCAACTCAGTCTGCGCCAACTCAGGCTGCGCCAGCCCTCCAAAACTATTAGAGACGTGCCATTGAAGCTGCTGAAAATATGCGTGGCTTAGCACAGACCAGCACGGATAGCTTAAAAAGCTAGTGCAGATGCTCAGCTCTACGCAACAGCTGATTTCTCTTTTGTCTTCCGTTTTTCTTTAGTTCTGGCTACTAAAAACACCTGTTTTGGTTTTGATGATACCAAATTTCTTTTGACGAGTAGGTAGATGACCGGTTTAATGGGGCAGTCACAATGCCTGTGCTCTGACAGCACGATTCTTTTTCTTCTCTAATTTCATTTTTCTATTCTCCTTTCTATACCTCGACCTTCCTACTCTGTCCGTTTCCTTCTTTTTGGCCATGTTCTGGTCTTTTCCTAATACCCGCAATTGACAAAATGAGAGCAACACTGGTTACTTTTCTGTGTCCGGTAAATTGGAAGAATGAGTGTCGTCACTCTCGTAGTACTTACTAGACGGTAGCTAGGATTAGTCCACACATACGCATGAACATGAAGAATTATCTGCTTTGTCATAAAACACGCGTTTTTATTCCCTCCGGGGTCACGAATGTGCCGTTGTAAATTCAAGTTTTCAAACACTATTTGGCTGTGTATAGTAATTTCTTTTGTTATCTTTGTTGGAAAAAGCAGCAAAGCAAAGCCAGGTTGAGAGTGGTTTCTCAGCTCTAGGGTAGTGCGTCATGCATAGCGGTTGGCTTAGCGGCGATCATCAACTCCGTCACTGACTAGGTCACGCCCCTGATTTTTGAGAGTGACTTAGCCAGCTTTCATTTTTTGGTTACTTCTTTCCCAGCTCCAACCTCTGTCTGAGGAACTGAAGCACATGATAAACCGCGCATTGCTTTCCTGATACCCGGCTATTGTCTAGGTGTTTGGGCGGTGCTGTTGAGTCTTGACAACCCCGCCTATGATCCTATGATCGAGGGCCCAGTTATTCATCACCATCATGCCCGCCTCAGCCACTCTTACATCTGAGCAACGGCACGCTCTGTTTGACATTTTATCACATAGCGAGACGTACTCCGAGATAGAAAATTTCAAGTATCCAGACGGTGTCACGGGTTATGGCTTCCCCTTCAGCAGTGAAACCATCATCCCCCCTCCGGGGCGGAGTGCCTCCACGACGCCTGCTGGCTCGGGACGCAACACCCCTCGGTCACGCTCCAGGACCCCTGTGCCTCCTGGCGAAGAGAAGAAATCCTCGGAAGCTGGGGCGGGGACCAATGGCGAGGTAGATGGCGAGAAGGACCGGCCGCCCTCGACCTCACCCGTGCTGCAGACGCTGTTCACCAGGTTTGCACTGCGGCTGCCCTGGTTGCGAGAACTGCCTCAGGATTTCTGGTCGGTTAAGATTCAAGGGATCTTATCGAAACTTGCCGAGGCGGAGTTGTCTGAGAGTTATGACAAGGGTGCGCTGGGTCTCCGGAAGACACTGGCGACGGGGTCCAGCGCTCTTCTTGAGATGATGGGAAGAGGCGCCTTGGGGGGACTGAAGAAGCAGACTTTTGCCTCCAATGGCGAGTCTCAGAAGGAGTATGACCTGCAAAAGGCCGAAGACCTGGAGAGGGCGTTTGATGAGATTGTGCATGGTCTCGTCTATGGGGATCTCGTCAAGAAGATGTGCGACCATATGGTTGAGACGGACGATTTAGAAGGCTTCTCACCCGCCTCGAAAGCTGCTGTGCAATATGCAATCATCTAGTAAGTTAACCCCCCCCCTCCCTTACTTGCCATGTTGCTCTAACCGCCTGCTACTACTTACAGCGTTGCTACATTCTTGCACCAGATATTTGTCCTGTCGCCTGAAGGCCAGTACCTCCTCCAGTTGATTCAGAACCTTCATAATCTCGTCCCCTACAAGATGGTCAAGCAGACCTTACGCATAAGCAATGTGGCGACTATGATCAACGGCATGACCAGACTAATGTTGGCCAAGGTCAGCATTGGCGGCATCACCAACTACTTTGGATTGACTACTAATGCTGACGACGGGATGAACCTTTTCCAACGAATCATCTCTCTCATCCTCTCCTGGGACGCTGCTGAGTTCCGCAAGACGGCGGAAAAGGTCGAGAAGAGCAAGGCCAAGGACCGGCCGGACGAAGACATGCTCAAGGCCATCAGGCAGTTCATCGACGAGAAGAGCCGCATGCAGCACGAGGCGGCGCGGGCCATCAGCCTGCACAAGTCGCAGTCGATCATCACGACGATTCTGACGGAGAACGACACCGATCTGACAGAGGAGCAGCATGCACAATGCCTGGAGTACTACTCTGCCCTTCTCTCCATCCATGACCGTGACGGAATCACGGCGGCTCTGTGCCGTCAGCAGCCAGACCTGTTCTCGCAGGTGGTGCGGGATGTAGTGCACATCTACGAGCCCTTCATCAGCATGGTTCACACCGGGGTGGATCTGAAGGAGTACCTGGATGGCGTGCAAGTATTCATCGACGAGTTCATCAAGGCGTCGAAACCAAAGACGGATGCAAACGGAGAGGTGCGACCGGCGAGCGTGGAGGACTATGTGGAGCTTCTGAGGAAGAACAGAGGGTTCCTGTACACGTGGATCCACGACGTCGCGAGCAAATGCCCCGGGGTCTGGAACGAACTGGAGGCGTGGGCAGTAGACTCGTTTGCCAAGTTCCAGCAGAAGCCGGCGCAGCAGTCCCCTGACGGCGAGAAATCGGATGAGAAGGAAAAGGGGAAGAGTGAGATGGACGCTCGTCTAGAGAGCCTCTTCCAGTCGCTGCCTGAGTCGACTCAAGAGGAGGTCCAGACTGCCCTCGACGCCCAGGCCGGCTACCTTGCCGACCTCACCGAAATCTCGAGGGAGAGCTTTCAACACATTTTGGATTCCACGGCAGACTCCGAGTCCGAGAAGAACAGCCAGACCGGCCCTGGAAACTACCTACACCGGTGGCACGCCCTACTAGACGAGACCGACATCACACCGGGGAGCGTTGTCGGGCCGGTGAGAAAGGGTAAAGATGTCAAACACACTCTGGCACAAGGCAAGACCAGCATTGTCGGAAACAAGCAGGAGGTCCCGCCTCGGCCAGAGAGGGCGGCTGGTCCAGCCTCGCCCGATGTGAGCGTCGTTGTGAGCGAGATGGGACCCGGGTTTCTGAAGATTTTACAGGAGATTGGCGGGCCAGGCAGATAGAAGAACGTTAAAGAAGTATCTCTAAGCGGGTGGTCGTGATTTAGCTGGTACCAGATGATCATACACATACACGGCATACTAGCACCGGGAAATGATGGCAGTTTTGAACAGTGTAAAAGAGGCATAGAATTAGACGTTTGATTCTGGCCTAGGCGAGCTAAGAATAGAAGGAAAGCATTGCAGCAATACCATGAATTGGTTATACTATGAAGCGGAGCAACAGCAAACCTCCCCAAATTAAAATTAAAAACACTGAAATTTTCCTGCAAGCAGAGCTATGGCGGAATGCCTATTGGTAGATGGAAAGAATGACTGGAGAGAACAAGCTTGGTTCTTGACGATGGCAAACCGGACTCAAGTGAATGTTCCGTTTTAGAATGGCGATGGAGCATCTAGCCATCCCGTTGTCATCTCCTCGTCCTCCTGAGTGACTGTCTTCTCGTCGGCTTTGGAACAATACGTGACGGACGGAAGTGTGCCCCGAGGAGCCCTTGTTGGCGTTTCAATGACAAGATCCCGATGTCCCGTTCTCCAATCCCTTTGCTGGAATGGTGGAGGTGTTCGCAGAGAAAGAGTCGATGGAATGCTCTCGTTAGAAGAAGACCCATCTTCCGACGAAGTTTGATCCAGAGGCATGTCCGGGGATTGAGGGGTTAAGGGCGGGCTGATGGGTTGAGCCGATGTTCGCCTCAAGATTGGTGTAGACTGGGGAGCCCGGACCGGCCTTGAGCCTAGTATTCTCTCTATTGACGAGACGGGCTGCCCGAGGAGGAACTCGGGTTCCTCAGTTACCTCTGTGGCGGGCAGTGGCTTCCTGACGCTGGCCGATGCTCGAGCCCCCTGGTGGGCTTTCATCAGTCTGGCGAGGTCTATAATTGCGGTCCGCGCTGGAGTGGCTGCCTCGCCGAACTGGCCTACACAGTATGCCAGGCCACTCACATAGTCATCCACTCTGCTGTCGTTGTCAGCAGGCGGCTCCGGGGTTGCCACGGCCGGATCTGAAGTCAGATCGACCGTAGACATGGGTTCGAAATCATCTCCCTCAGTCAGGTCGATGGCAGATGGATCAAGCGTGAGATCAATAGTCATTATCTCGTCTTCATCTTCTTCCACGCAGCCATCATCGTCATCCTCGATATCGGAGTCCTCATCCACATCTATGACAATTTGTTCGTCAGCAGTGGCTGCTTCTGGTTCCGTCACTGCAGCTCGCCTCTGAAATAGCGAGGCACTCCCGATCTTCATCTTCGGATATTCTTTTTGGGCCAATCTTTCTTTCCAACACAGTTTGATCGAGATACCGGTGATCTCTTCGAGGACCTGGGCGAACCGCCCACAGCGTGCACAGTTCTTGCGCGAAAAGTATATCTCGAATCGCGGCCGGCTCCTATCCGTACAAGACGCAGTTCTCAGCTGTTCCAGATGGCGTCTGGTCACATTGTTCAAGTCGTCGGTGATGCCGAAGAACTCCAGCATGGCAAAGATTGCGTATGTCGCCAGCTTGACCTCGACATGACCCCCCTGGTAGACGCCCCTCCGAGCGAGTCTCTCCTGCATAGTCATGGTGCGCTTCCCCGAATTGTCGAAAGGCGAGGCGAAGGCCAAACCGAGGATATTTGCCAAATGTATCCCCCTCCGTGTCCATATGATGTTGGGGAGAGCAGCACCTTCGTGCGCTCCGCTTGGGACGTCGAGAATGTCTCCCATCTTTCCGCATCCGTGGCCGCTCTCGGACCAAGCGAGAATCATCCTTTGCTGGCTCCCCACCAGGGTGAGGAAACCGACTGTCTTCTTGGTGAGGATGGTGTTGATGTGAGCGCGGCTTGTTATCTCCTTCGCTCTCTTGTGACCAAAGGTGAAGCCCAAGTTGGGACCCAGGACCTCGACAGTCAGCGTCGCTTCGTCGGGGTTCACGATGTGATGGAAGTAAAAGGCAGGGTTCGCGATGCGGAATGATGGCGTGAAGTCTGGCAACTCTTCGTCTGTATTCGCATCTGGAGACATGCTGGTCGTCTCGTCATGAAAAATAAGCCGGGTAGCGAAAGTGAGCGATCTATTTTAGTGTTAGCCTTCTTGACGAGTTGCTTGATAGGAGCAGCTCGTGCGTTGCTCCTCCAGTGTGGCAAGTGCATTAGTGAATGGATGTTGCCTAGGAACAATATGCCAAACAACATATGCAAATATACACACCTTTGAGGAAACAGACAATTTTGAAAATACAGATAGAGAACACACAAATGAGGTTGAGTAATGAGGCACCTAGTTCAAGAATGAATAAAGGTGAAGCTATCCGTGGTGGTCTGTATTAGAGAAAAATGAGGGCATCCCCATACTCGTGGCTGGCTGCAAGTAGCTGAGCCCAAGTGAAAGTGAAGAGGTTCTGAAGACATTCTGGGCCGGATTCGTCGCATGAGCTAATTGAGCTCATCGCCACAAAGTTTGTAAGTCAATGGCAATTCTCACCAAGGTAAGTAGGTAGAGTTGTCGAAGGTCTGCCTCCCACCAGGAGAGGACGTTGCAACTTACTACTTTGGGTTGAGCTGCGACTCTCAACGGCCCACAAATTCACTGGGCGTTATTTTTCCTACTAGCCGGTCCACAGACGATAGATGGTCTCATCAAGGACAGGACATCTTTCAATGCCACAAACATAGTCAACAGTCAAGACAGGTATCAAAGAAGGAGCAAGTTTTCAGTCAACATGGACGAGTCCAATTGAGCAAACAGAATGAACCCAAATCAGGGGGAATCTCATTCATATATGCCAAAAAAATCTAAGACCGTACGCCCAAATCGTTCACGTGGGTCCCTTCCCACGAAACTTTTTTGCACCCGCGTTAGAAAATGCCGTCCAGTTCATATTTACTCGTCATCTTCCTCCTCCTCCTCGGCCTCAGCGGTGGTCTGGGCGATACGGTCCAAATCACGCTGGCCGGCCTGGGTGATGCGGCGGCCACCCTTCTCCTCGTCCTGCTCAACGACGCCGATCTTCTCAAGGGCCTGGAGGACCTTGCGGTCGACAGAGCCGGAGGCATCGTAGTGGTGCGAGGGGCGGTTGCCGCGGTTCTTGGCGGTACCGTGGACCTTGCGGAGACGGCCGACACCGACGGTCTTGCGGAGGTAGACGTGGCGTGCGATAGAAGCAGCACGGACGTAGAACCAGTCAATGTCCAGAGGAGGGAGCTCCTTGGCGTGACCAGTCTTGACGGTGTCAACCCAACCTTGGGGGGCAGTCAGCGGCCGAGTTCGATGATTGCGGGAAGAGGGGGAATGTCCAAAAACTTACCAGGGATGGGCAGCTTGCCCTGACGCTTCAGGAACGCAGCATAGGCGTTGATGAACTTTTGCGCCTGATTGACAAATACCCATTAGCATGATTCCGTCTTCAGAAGTCTTGCGACCCCCTCGCGCCTGCTCCTCATATGCCATTTCTAAAAACGAGCGTCTCTCTCACGCCCGCTGCCGGATTGCAGCAATTGCTATTCCTCAATTCACAAGTGCAAATATCGCTGCAATCGGAAGCAGCGGCGGCGGTTCAGCTTCATCTTCGGATTTGAAACAAATAAGAGTCGGGTATCGTCTCGAGGGGTCGTCGTGGGATCGAGGAGATTTTGGATTGTGTGCTGTGCAGTGCATGCCCATCGGCATCTTCAAGGTGAACCTACATCAACATCGCGAACGCCAACTCCGCCAGCCATTTTTGCGGTATTGTTTGAGAGGGTGGGTGGTTGGGGAAGGAAGGGGTGCTTGGTGCGATTGGTGATTGTCAAGGCGTGAAGTTCACAAAAAGTTTCAGAGAGAAGTTGGTGGTGGTCAAATTCGTGCACTTGCCCTTGTGTGGGGCCACAAACCCTAGAGTGGATTCCAAATGCTGCTTACAGGTAATCAGAGATCAGGCTAAGCCAAAGATTTGCGGGCCGTCAATTCGGCCGAGTACTTGACTAAGCCTATCCTAAATACCTTAGGTAATCATTCTCATAACGTCTTACCAACAATCCCTCATCGAATTCACAGTCCCATGTGAGGTTGCTTTCAGGACGGAGCCTTTACACTAACCAGACCATGTCGTCTTCCGACTCAATCTGTTGCGCTGTGAGTCGACTTGTAGGAGGCGATCCGCAGTCTATCACCAAAGTGCGCCAGAAGGCTCTGAAGCAAGATTCGCCAGTCACGTATTCCTGGGTTGCGTCTGATTCTGTCAGAATGGCCCGGTCAAGGTAAAGACCAAAGTATTCCATAGGCAGGCTGTCCCTTTTCATAGCTCGTGGCCCGGGCTCAATCCAGTTCATCTTTGTGCGGTAATGATAGTCGGATTGTTTTATCACTCCCACACGCCCTAGCTTTGCACCCTTGGCAACAAGTGCCTTTCCGTTAATTACACGGCATGGCACTTCGCAGGAAGGCCGCCCAGCTTGGAAGGGGCACCCGTGCATAAATAGACGCCCATGGGGGCTCTTTTGAAAGTTGGCAGCCCAAGAAGGCTTCTCCCCTATTGGGCCGCTCAGAGAGTAACCATAGCCGACATCAAACGTGGGGGCTTGGAAAGACCCCCAAGGGCCCTGAGATATCAGGTTCAAGTTCCCATCGCGATTGATGAGTAACTCGGTCAGATCTGAGAATAGTGTTCCAGGGGAGTCTCCATAGTCAACCTCGAGATCATCCATATCCGCAAGGCTTAACATACTGTAAACAAGTTCCCTCGAGTCCGTCGTCTTAACAAACCGGAACTGCCCCATTACTGCCAGCAGTGACTGCTTTTCTGAGCCTGCAAGAACATTTCTCATGACTTGTCTTTGTCGGTCAATCCTGACGACCATTTGGATCATGTGGCCGATTATCAAATCCGCCACTCCGTGATAGAAGCGCCCATAGATTGTCTCTGCGTATGAGCCGTCCCCCAGGAAATCTTCTACTTGAGCCCAGTCCAAAACGTGGGAGCCTGCGACAAGGTGAACTTGCGGCGCCAGGCAAATATACCGGACAGTCCATAATTCCTTTCACACGGGTGAAGTTTGAAGAGCATTTTCAAAGTCATGCTGCTGCTCCTGCGTCATGAGCCTCATGGGAGGAAGATCAATTTTTGCACCAAGTTCTGTGTCGGAAATTCCGCCAGCTCGCTTCTGTCGATAATGTGCACCTTCCAGCTCTAAATCATGAATCAAGGAAGGATCCTTGTTACAAATTCCTTCTATCAGTTGCAGGCCTTTCCCAATATCTTCTTCGCTTGCCGTTGAAGGCTCGCCTGGTGGGGTCGGATTTGGCCCAAGCCATACTAATACACGAACGCACTTCGTCAATATCGTCTTCATAAACCTGATGTAAAAGGAGCGCTCGGATAGTGAACGCTGATCTACGCAAATAAAGTCGACCCAGAGATGTCGGGGCTTATGGTGGTAGCGCAACCCACGAAGGGCGGCTCCGACATTCGCCGGGACGAGCAGGACCTCCTGGTCAATATATATCACATTCGTGGGTTTAGACCTCTCGCGCGCGTAAGACAAAACCTCGAAAGAAGTTACATCACTGAAGTTCGTTCTCCGGATAGAGCCTTCAATGGGAGAATCTTTGTTATCTGAAGGCGAGAGTGTAAAAAGTCGGAATTGTTGGAGGGGATAATCCAAAGGCGTATACAACTCTTGCGCCATTTTATCAATTCGAGGTGTCAACAAAGAATATAGTGGCAAAATTGGTAATAGACTTGTGGGCATCTCCCTCGAGATATCTCCAGAAGAAAATCAGTGCTATGTCAGGGTATTGCTCATTTAACAAAAGATGCCTTGTAGTGGCGGAGCACGAACCAACATCGGTCCGTGTGAATAGAGTTGGATCATTGATCCATGAGAGCATCAATTAAATGTGCAAGCTGGGTGGATCTCTCCAGACAGAAAATGCCCTACACAGCACCCTTAAACTCATCGGAGATGTTCTATGAATTTTTGCATTTCACTTCACAACCAACATGTTTGTAAATAAAAACAAGATCTGATGCGACAGTAATCTAGGATTGTATTAGCATGTGTTGTTGTCGCAAAGGCTACAGTATGTAAATAATACGCCCTTCTGGGGTAGACTCTAAATATTTAACAGAATATAAACTGATACGTATCAAACAATAGATCCTCCGAATTCAGAAACGACGCTAAGAGAATGGTATATAATTTGATCAAATAGACGTGTCATATGACCAGTAGGATTTCTTCATGGAGTCCTAACCCTTAAGCCCACTTGGCAAGAACGGCCATAATGGCCATGCCAAAAGCAATACAAGCGAAGGCGAACAGAAGCGTCTTAAGCGGAGCCTTGCGCATGCGAGGGTTGAACATAAACTCGTGGGCGAGGAGTTCGACCAGACCCGTGTACATGAGGATACCAGCAGAGATGGAATCGAAGATTCCGTTGACGAGCTTCTGGGTGTTGGCGTTGTTTGGTTTGGCGCCCACTCCAGCAGCGATACCAATTGGAGTGGAAAGACAGAAGAAGAAGGCAAGCAGGTAGGGCAGCCACTGCTTGTCCTTGGGCCAGGGTGCAACAGCAAGCCGGGACCCCAGACCAAGACCCTCAAACATCTGGTGGAAGACAAGAACGACAAGGAGGACGATGACGTCGTCGGTGGTACCAAGAGTCAGACCAATGAAGACACTGTGGAAGAGAACACCGAACTCAAGAATGAAGATGTCAAGAAGCTGGCCTCCGACGTTAGGGTGAGAGTCTCCCTCTTCATGGGAGTGCCTGTGCGCAAGGTGGTCGTGGGGCTCGTTCAGGGGACCCTCCTGTTCTCCCCTTTCAGCAGCACTTGAGCTGTCCTTGGCTGAGCTTTTGGCAACGACGTCCATGGCAGGGTCCAACTCGATATCTTTCTGAGCCGCAGATGGGTTGCCGTGGCTGTCCAACGACCTTGAAGCCAACATCTCGAAAAAGAACATGAGCAGGACCGTCCAGAGCCCGATGGCCTCTGGCCAAGGGTAGTCTCCCAACATGGGCTCCAGACACGCATCGCTAAGGTTCTCAACGGCAGGGTCAAGCAAATGCAGCCACGCGGTGGCGATGATAACACCCGTACCAATGTATTTGCAGACAAAGAAGGCAGACTTGGGAACGGGGACCTTGGATTGCCTAGCGAGAATGACAGGCCCAAAAGCACCAATGGCAGAGGCCACTAGAATGATGAAAATGGAGGCAATACGCAGGCCGAAGTAACCGACATCAACGGCATCGCCATTGCACTGATCCTGATCAACCTCGTCTGCCATGGCTATAACAGGTCGGACCGCTGAATTATCCGCTGGATTGTCGGAGGGAATATCTAGGTGTCGTCGTTTGCTTGGGTGTAGAATACTCAAGTATGAACGAGTGTGCTGTAGTCGGTATCCTTTGAACCGATCGGAGCGAACAGGAACAAGTTATAGACGGCCCTAGGCGTTGGAAATACCCGCCGTGAACCTTTATGGTGAAGTTGAAGATAATTTCTGGATTCTGAGTACGGGCGGGCCGAAAATGGGATCATGGTGGATTTTGTTGGATTCAAAGAGGCAACACGACGGGAGTGAGATGCCGGACGAGCAGCCCCCAGACAGGCTATGGATACAGTCGATTCGTGGCCGTAGATAGTCCCCTGCTTGTATTGATCTGTGTGGGTGGAGAGACAGGCAGAGACTGAGTGTGGCTTCCAGGCGGGAGCGATCTCGAGACACCTCAAATCTTATGTATATCCGCCAGATCAAACTTTTTTAAGCGAAAGCTTGAACCTAATTTTGCATTCGCTCCGCCGTTCTTTCCTTCTTTTCCTTTCTTCAGGGACTGCCGTTGAAGTTCCGGCAACGGCAGCAGGTACCAAGCACCGACGAGCGCATCACACGTCGTGCTGGCTGGGCTTGCCAGCAGCCGTTGAACGAGGTGGCCAGACATGCCGAATGACTGTAGGCTGTCTCGAAGACCGGCACGCCAGATCCGAAGGGAATCGAAGGGTGTGGGTTTTCTCACCCGTCGTAAATGCTAAAACGCTGGGTCGGTGTCTTGCGTGCGTGGCGCGTGGCTTTTGGGCCGTTTTCGAAGCATCGTGATATCAGCCAAATTGTGGTTTTTTCAGACGTGGATTTTTTTCAACGCATCGCGCAGCCTCGTCTCTGCAGTCTTGGCGACAACCATCTGCATCGACGGTCAGAGACAGCAGACAGATCTGTTTTCAACACAGCTGCGCACCTTGATGATTCGTTTTTGCGCCTCTTTGGGTCCTGCTGGGGTCCGACAGCTAACGACCGTCTGCCCCCGCCTCTCGTCCGGCGAAGTGTCCATCAAGGTTCTCACGTCTCATGTGTCTGCAACCATAAACGAAATAAGAACTAACTAAATCGGATAGCACGGCAGATCGCAAGGCAAAAACTCTGCTTTCACGCTTCTCTTTTTAAAAAAGGTCCGTGGCAATGATTTCATTTGTTTCATTGATATTACGTTTGAGTGTGTAGTCCTTCTTACCGGCTCGATTAATGCATGTACTGCCATTGGTCCGTTGTTTTCCAACGGATCCACGAGATGGAAGCAGCCTCGACATATCTTTTTCGCTTGGTGAGATATAACCGCTGCGACCACGGACCACCCGGTCGGGGCAGAGGGGAAATGGCTCCAGAGCCGCATGTGGCATGAATATGGTGGCCTGACACCAGGCCAAATAATCGTGAATCGACCTTCCTTCCGGCCCAGTTAATCATCATGATGAGAACTGAATCTCCAGTCCAAGTGTCCGGAACGGCTTGTCCGTCTTTCTCAGGTCGATGCCGCTGCCTAAGCTAAAGAGTAGGGATTTTATCCTCCCTTCCCAGAGGACCCCAATCTGCAGGTTCTGGTCCATCCGCGCCTTGAGAACCCCGGCATATTCCTCAGGGTCTCCATCCTTAGGCGTCTTGATAGGTTCCGGGTCATCCAGCTTCCATTTCAACTTGGACGCGAAGCTTCGCTTCGGTAAGCCGTAGTTATCGTCGACAAGGCGGGGGAGCGGCTTCCTCCACAGCTCTGTGCCTACCGCCCACGAGCTCTCATAACTGAAGACGTTGAATTCCATGCGCGTCGCCAGGCTGCAATGCTTGCCTGCCACAACTGCATAGTTGGCACTGATGGTCCCCATAAGTGGGTTCACTGTCAATGTGGCAGCGAGAGGCGTGCCATTATGCGACGGAAGGGTCGCAAACCGAGCCCCCAAACTGATGCCACCTGATTTGTTCAACGTGCCGTAATAAATCTCTCCTCCTGTACTGAATCGGCCGTATATGCGCTCGCGCTCCGAGTGGTTTCCATTCTCAGAGGGCGCCGCAACCTTCGGGGGTTCGGCGTCGCCACCAAAATTATAAACACCTCTGAAACCCAAAAGTCCACCGTCAGAGGATGCGAGACCCTCCAGCGCATATCTCCCCACATCATACTGAGCCAACCCTACCGTCGTTCCCCCATTGCGAAGATGCGCTCCCGATACGGCGCTGAACTGGACTTGGAGGGCGGGAGAGATTCGCTTCACTACCAGGGCCTCGAGAAGAGATTGCGGAAGATATAGTCTGCCATAGAGAAGGGAAGACTTGGCCACATCCTGGCCTCCAGTCAGTCCGGAGGTCTTCGATTTGAGTTCGGTGAGGGGCGCCAAAGGTCGATACGCTCGGAGAAGGCTAGGCAGAGAGATGCGGTCGGATCGCGATTCGATTGCTACGCGCAATGGTACGGAGGAGTAGAGATATGATATTGAGCCATCAACAACACCAACCGACCCAAGCTCGTAGGATGTAGCAAAGTTCGGACTAGAAAGCGACGAGAGAGTAAGCCGCAAGCCTCGCGGAGTCGGGAACTCTAGGAGAGCTATTCTCATTTCGTTAGAGCCGATATAGATCAAAGAAGGAGGGTCAGTTCGAGAAAGGCTTTACCGTTGGGCGTGGAGTTGAGGGCCGCATAGGAGTTGTCACGGTTCCATCCTGTGGCTTCGTAGAAAGCGCTGTGGACATAGTCCATAAACTCGCGCATGTCGACTCGCTATAACATGTCCCCTAGGAAGTGACGAGGTAATCGCCGTCTAGAATGTAATCAAAAGCTCTTGATGGGTTTTAGAAGCTGTCGTGTCAAGGCCAATGGAGACTGGCCGGATTGAACTTGAAGGTTTTCGGTTAATCCATGGAAATAACGGGACAGCTTGATGACGCTGTCGCCACAACCGATCCTCACAGTACCAGTACCTATTCGCCTACCCTACGGCCGAGCTTCTATCTTTTTCATGTCAACCTTCCTCGCATCCTAGCACTATACGACATCATTGAAGAGTGTAGTTTGAGCCTTTCTTTGTATCTCAAATCAGACACATAAAGAGAAACATGCACCCTAGGAAGCAGGTGAAATTAAGGCCAACTTCCTACCAAATGATATTCCTATGATACCAGGAAACTTACGCTCGATCTCAAAATTGATGTTAGCAGAACACTCCTAGCATAACCAGTCAAGTATTTTAGTTTGAAACTAGGTAGTCAGCCTTGTCATTTGGCCAGTTCATTTCATGGTAATGATAGGATAAAGAATACGCTCAACACGACATCGAAAGGAATTATTGACTAGGCATATTTTTGGGAGGCTACACCTCGGGACACGACTCAAGATGCTTCCAATTATTTTCTTCAGG